CCCATCTGTACTGGAAGAATCAGTTGCCTTATCTGACTTGATCCCATCTGTACTGGAAGAATCAGTTGCCTTATCTGACTTGATCCCATCTGTACTCCCAGCTGGGCTGGCAGCTCCTACCCCTATGCAGTGCCTCCCCCATGCTTTCATTCCACACAGGAGCTCGGCCCACTCTCTTCACTGCACCTCACACAGAGGCTGCAGGAGCAAATGGCCACAGCTTTCTAAGGAGGGCTTAGAGTCTTTCCCTTATTCTTCCAAACTCACTGTATTCTGTGGGAAGTTTTCCCTGCAAATAAAAGGTAAAACTGTGCTTTCTGAGAAGTGTTGAGTTGAAGACTGAAGCCACAGATCCCCATTGTTTGGGTTGTTTTTTTTTCAGTAGGGAGGAGGGGAAGAAATGAAGATGTGATATAGAAGTAACGATATCATTTTTTGTTGTAAGCTGGTGTTCAGTCACAAGCAAACAATGTGACAATGCTAATCGTGTCTAAGCAGCTTCACTTTTCCTTGGTTCTCAGGAAAATAACTTTCACTCTGTTCCCACATATGCCTAAGTTCTTGAGAAATTTCCTGTGCACAAGTAGCAGTAAAGTTTTTAGACAACTTTAATTGCTAATATACTTAGCTGGCTTTCTAGAAAGAGCCAAAACATGTATCCGCTGGGAATTGGCAAGCAATTTACTGATAGCTCAATGACTAGTGTTTCCGTAAGCATACCTGCTAAGGTGGATTTGTCAGATGCAAGGCTGTAAACACCTCCAAAGCATAAATATTCCACTACATTTCAAAGCAGTTTGGAAAGGCTTCATCTACTAATTCCTGGTTTAGCTTGTACTACTGTAACTACTGCTATTCCTCTCCTTTCCAAATCTTCATTTCAGATAAAGAGATTGTTGTGACACCTGCTGCACAGACAGGCACGGGCAGCTCTCCCCAGCCTTGCTACATAAATCACTTTCTTCTCTGCAATCTGTCATCAGAAGTTATTTCTCCTGAGGTACTTAAGGAACATCATTCAGTCAGTGGCAGCACAGGTGGATTACTAGGGTGACCAGTGGTGTGTGTTTTTCTTCTCCCTCTACATGTGCATTTCCCACAGATTAAATATCCTCTTCTAGCAGAACACTTTCCTGCCACTTCTTACCTGCATTTGGAGATGCCTTTTGTGACCAGCCTGAGACTGTAAATCAACTGGGCAAGGCTTATCCCTCCTAATATACTTGAAGGGTTAAGCACAGGCTGCATTTCTGGTGAATAGTATAGATTGAAAATAATGCCACCCAGTCCTTACTATTGATGTAAATAACAAATTACTCAAGTACAGAAAGTGGCTGAATTAATTATATTGCAATTAATCCCATGGACTTGTGCAGTGGGAAAACTTGTTTACTTTATCAGGGACCTTAGTATGAACTGAGGCATTTACTGACAATATTGAGTACTCTACAATTTTGAAAAGATTTGTGTTTCTGGCTAAAAGTTTGCAAATATCCAGTCTGCAACAGTTCAGCAGTGTGCAAGTCTCTTGGGAAATGTAGGATTGGAACAACATTTTATCACTGTGCTTTATGCTTATTTAGTGATTGTGAAATGTATAAATGTAAGATAATGCATTCTTTATTTTAATACCTAATTTTATCTATTTAATATAAAGTCATATTTATATAAGTTGTTTGACCATGAGAACAGTAGACTGAGTTTGGGACCCGAGGCTCTCTACCAGAACCAGGAGCAATAGGGATTTGGTGGACACCAAACCAGGGCTACCTGAAATACTTTAGGGGTACCAACAGCAGTCTGGCCACAGCAACGGGAGTTTGGTGCTGAATCAGCCTCCCTTGGTTGCTAAGAAGCAGAACAAATTTATCTGCAGCAGGTATTGTGCTGTCAAACTGCAGCTGGTTCCTGTGCTGGATCATTGCTTTGAGGCTGGGATGTCCACACTGCGTGCTGGTGGCACTGCTCCCCCTCCAGCCGAGGCATTCCTGGAGTTACCCTTCTCTTCCTCAGGTGGGAAGGAGATACTGCTTTACACATTCAAATAGGGTGGTGGTAAAAAAGTAATTGCTCTTCCCTGTTGCAGGTTTGCTCTTTACAAGTTACCAAAACATGCTAAAGGAGAGATTCCCATGCTGGGGCTGGAATACATGTACATGGATGCCCTGGCTCCGCAGTGGCAGCTTGGTAAATACCTCATCAACACGACGCAGGGCGCTCTGGGACGAACACTGAAGCAGCTGTATGACACATATGAATCTAAGGCAAGTGACATTTAATTATTGTTAGTATGTTTACTTGCTATTACATGAAGATGAAATGAAACCACCCAAAATAAGCACATGGAGGTATGGCCAGACCTGACTGCCCAGATCTACTAAAGCACATCGGGGGGAGCGCCTTGACAGTGGGCAGACTATTTGCAGTTTTGGCTACAATTAGAAATTATCCTCAAAATTCTAATTTCTAGTCAAGCTTTTCATACACTTAAAGTACTGCCCGTCAAAAAAGGGTGTTGGTACATACTCCCTTTGGCTTCTTCTCTGCAATTCATGTTGAGCAATATCTGAAGCTGTGAACTGGCTTGGAACTCAGACCAGGGCCAGTGGTGACTGTTACAGACACTCGTCCTCAGCCCTCCTATGTGCATGTGTTTCCCCCCTCAAATCAAATCTGTATTTTTATCTTCTCCCTGAAATCACTGTGACTGCTCCAGCAGTGATATGCTACTGGTTGGCCTTTTTTTTTTCTCCCACAGGGAGACACCTCACATATATATATTTGTGTGAAGTGATTATAAAATATCACAAGATCTGCCTGTAGTTATTCTTTTACCATCTACATAGTATTGTTGAGAGTCTGGGTATGTCTTTGCATTTCTACTCTGGGTTAGTGGTGGGGTGTCATTAATTTATATGTAGAAGAGATTCCCAGAAGTCAGTCAAATACTGTCAGTCCAGAAAACTGTCCTGTTGCAGGTCTCACTGTAATTGTAATAAACTGTTTACAAACTCCTAGTACATTGGGAGGGGAAGCATGTCCCAACTCCTTTGAAGTTCTTTGTTCAGGGGAAATAAGGTGCGGCCACATGCAAATATTTTGCAAAAAAGCTTTAATTGCTTGCCCTTCTTGAGAACACTTGTTATGTCTATTTTTACTCAGCAAATGTTTTCACCGGATCTGATTGCTAAATCAGAGAGAGGCACAAAAAACAGAGAGGGGAACTTTTTTGCAAGCAAATGCCATAAACCCATGTAAACTGTCTTAGCAAGCATATTCAACCCTGTGAGAAAGGGCTACTGCAGTGATTGAGAAAACTTCCACTTCAAGTTAACCAGAGCCCTGATGCTGAGTCTTCAGGTTTATTTTACTGTAGCATCTGTGAAGACTGTGTCAGCTGAACTGGGAGCAGGATTAGGCTCGTGATGTTCACACAGAGGAGTCCTGAATTATTTTGTTTCCAGCAGATGTTCTCTTAAATGCCTTCCTTTTACTCAATGTCATGTTTCAGAAGTGTGTGTTTCCCTGCAGAGGAACACCATTGCCTATGCGATATACAACGATGAGATCCCTGAATCAGACTCCAGAGGGTGGAAAAGTGGACACACCAAAGGTACAGGGAGTGTCCCAACCTACTATTTTCTCCTTTCCGAAGTTATGGATAGCATCTACTTGTCTGTTTGTCTACCTGCATAACTAAAATTCCTGCCTAAAGCAAAACTGGAGAATGATTTGCATGATGTGTGGTTTGTTGTATAGTTACATATGCTGCAGCTTCTGTTTTGGTTTTGGTATGCTTGTGCTGTGTGAAGGATCTTAGGGCTTTTGGACTCTTTGTTTCAAGAGTTGAAACTCATACAGATTCTTTTAGTGAGTACAAAGCACATTATCCTGTACTTGATGGCAACAGCAGTACAAGATGTGAAGGGAAAGACACCCTCAACATATACCCCTCCAGACTCTCTGGAGTAAGAAACTGCTGCCAAGATCATGGTATGCAGTTACAGAAAAACAAGATTTAGATATAAACTTCAGTGGAGGTCTAAATGTTCCCTTGAGGAAGCAGATGGGGTTTGCCCAGCCTGTCTTGGGTATGACCGTATTTTGCAGGGCTGTATTTTCAGGCTGCAGCACTGGGGACAGCTCAGGAGCCATGCTCCACCCTGGAGTAGCCTCCTGAGGGGGAAGCGTAGCCCGTCTCTCTGCTGCTTACAATGGAAGAGAATTTGGTCTAGAAGAGAAGACACAATGTTGACAGAATCTATTTCCCCTTATCCAGTGAATATATGAAGGCAGGGAAAATAAGCAGTGGAGAGAGGGTCACAGTCAGAACTTTTGAAGACAAAATTTGAGCAGAGGAAAGAATTGATGCAATTTTAATACAATATTAGTGTCTCCTATGATCCATTAATCTACTCTAGAACCAGTTTACTGTAGGTATTAACATGTTGAAATGTGGTCTCCGCAGCAGCAAAACCAGAGCAGGACACAGCTCTATTGTCTCAGGGCTTTTTCGTCCTTAATTCATTAGCAGTAACTTTTTTCTTACAGGATTTCTGCTCTTGGACAAATCACAAGGCTTCTGGGTAATTCACAGTGTGCCTCTGTTCCCTCCCATCCCTGAGGAAGGTTATGGGTATCCAGCTACTGGGGAGTCCTTTGGACAGACAGCCATCTGTATAACCTTCAAATATGACCAGTTCACTGAAATAGGTATGAAAAGCTTTGCCCTAAGAAAGCCTTTGTCCCACCACAGCTCTCTGATTGCTTTCCTTGAGGCTTCACCTCAAAAATTCATTGTTCTTGACCTTTGTTGTCAGATTGGGAGACCAAATGGGGCCTGGAGAGAGCATTCTTGGTTTCAGTTATGTTTATCCAACGATTTCCTGCGTGAATGTGGGAAATTCGCGCTTCCACTCTCTTTCCTTCTCCCCATGGGGATTATTAGGATAATAACAGTCACAAGTGCTTATCAATGGTAAATTAGCCTGTGTATACAAAGTACTTTGGAAACATAAAGTAGGATGATTAATAATTTTTAACAGTAATAGCTCATTCAGCTACAATCACCTGCAGTTCTAAAAATGTAAGGCAAGTACAGCTTGAGCTGAAGTAGTAGCCTTGACTCATCAGAAATATGAAGTATGGAATAAATATCACCTAGAATTTCCCCAGGTATTTTTTGCCACAAAAATCACCAATACTGAATATATAAAACCCCCCCAAAAAAACCAACAAAATATATACCTGTAAGATTCAGAACTATCTGACAGTGATAACTGGTACTGGAATCCTGCAAAGAATTGTCAAAAGGCATTACAAGAAGTCATGCTGGCATGCTCCTTACCTCTTTTCACACTGTTTTTTCACTGTTTTCTCAGTTACAAACCTCAAATCATATTAATGAAGCACACATGCTGTGCAAATTGCCAGGGTGGCCACACCTTAGAGTAATCTAAACCAGGTTCCTGTTTGTGGAAACACATCTGTGCATGTGTTTAGGGAAAGAGGGCAAGAAAATGAGATGCATACACTAGTGCTTTTCCTGCCTCATCCTCCCAGCTTCTGATAATCTGTGGTTCAGGGATTTCCTGAGCCAGAAAGACTGGAATGTTCCTGGTGGACTGGTCTTCCCTGAACTCATCTAATGAGCCCATTTGTTCCCTAGCTCTTTATGATATCCATGGCAAGGACTTCTACAGTTAAGCTGAGCAGTGTTCAGAAAAGTGAATTTCTTCTGGAAATTCAATCCAGATGCTGAAACTCAAGTTCTGTTCTCCCTAAAACCAAACTAGACCCTTGGGCAGCTCTTCTGTTTGCATTTGGCTTGGCAGCTGTAACTGACTGGAAACCACTTCTGTAAATACAGACAGGTTTGGATTTACACATGCTGTCTGAGTGCTGTGTGGCTGCACAGAGGCTTGAAGATGAGCAGGGGTGGAAGTGGCAGTGGACCAAGACCACCAGTTAACAGTTCTGCTAACAATGAGGCATGAGTGGAAAAACTTGAGCGTGCTCTCCCAGCCAGTCTATGTGCTGCAGAGCCACCTGGAATACAAAGCAATTACACATATTTTTGGTTGGTAAAATAAGATACTTTAGTGCCAAACTCATCCAGAAGTAGGCTGGGAAGATTAAGAAGGACTTACGTTTCCTTTCCAAGGCAGAACTTTGCTCTCTTGATTGCTTTGCTTTAGCCCATTTTAATTCTGCATATGTTCATTTCTGTGGGTTTTTCTCAGACCAACAGATGTTGAGTTATAATCCCGGAATCTACAGTTGTTCCATCCCTAACATCTTCCAAGCTGATCTCCCAAATCTGCAGAAGCTCTGTGCAAAGTCCAGGCTGCCCGTGGTCCCCTTGCGCCACCTCACCAAGCTCCGGTCAGCTCGTGGGGAAACCTTTCTCCACTTTGCAAAGTCACACTCATTCATAGATGGTAAGGGAACCTGTTGCTCTATGCATCACACATTCTCAATTAATTCTTAATATATTAATTAATATATTCTTTGACAATTAATATATTCTTTGACAATTAGTATTTTCTTTGAGGGAAAAAAAAGAAGTTCAGCTTCACAAATGAATGAAACAGAGGGCAAGGAATGGTGTCCCAACTTAATATTCTCTCAGCCTCACAAAGCAAAAAGCTGTCTGGTCCATCCTAAGGTGTTCAACAATGATATTTTCAGAAAATTTATTGAACGATAACAACAAAGAAGAAATATGGGGCTTGAATAATTTGGGGTCTTTTTGTTATCACGAAGATTTGCAATTTTTTTGTCCTTTCCTTTTTATCCTGCTGGTGGTTTGTAACAGGTTTTCTAGAAGGAGAAAAATTAGAAATGAACTTCTGAAACCAAAGTCAGAATAAGGGCAAGGGGCAAAATCCCCTCTGGCTGACTTTATGCATTGCAATGAAACGAGTGTAATCTAGATGATGCTTTTCAGTCTGTTTTTGAATGAAGGAACATGAAAGATTAATTTCCCACACCCTGTGTTATTCCACAGATATCTATGTGGCCTGGATAGCTCAGGAACTGAAGACCGATTTGTTGGCTGAATCCTGGCAGCGTTCTGGCCAAAAACTTTACTCAAATTGCTCTCTCGATTACCACGTCTACAACATAAACCTAATAGGGATGCCATTGAATTCCACCTTTCATTCCATTAATGATCATTCCAAATGGGCTGTTTCAAGGAAATACAAAGATCAGTGGACCTGCATCGGAGACTTAAACCGTGCTGCCGAGCAAGCTTGGAGAAGTGGTGGGTTCATCTGTACCCAGAATGAACACATCTACAGTGCCTTCAGGCACCTGATAATGCACTACGAAAGCTGCACTGCTGCTTCCACAGGGATATAACAGACCATTCCTCCCAACCAGCACAGCCCTTATTACATAGAAAGTGTGTGAAATATCTGCCTTAAAATCTATTTCCTCTGTGAAAAACGGCCCTGTGAGTTGCCAGGTGTGCTAGATCATCACCTTGTTGGCTATAAAAGCAGGTGGTGTGCAGGTAAATTATGGCTGGTTTGCTCTGGTGTGGGACCTGGAGGCTCTGCGTGTGCTGGGCCGTGCTCTGCTCTCTGCTGGCTCCTCACCATCCGTGCTGGGATGGGATGGGATGGGATGGGACCCTGTGGCACAAGGCTGCACCAAAGCACATCACTGTGGGTGCCCTGCATGGGCACCCCTAGAGCAACTTGTGAGTTGGGGCTGCCCGTGGGATGGGAAGGACAGCAGAAACCTCTCTCCTGAGCTGGGTTGTCAGGAATGGGCAATCAGCAAGGGACAAGTACCCCAAAATACCTCAAAATCACCCCATATTTCAGGTGCTGTTGAGATAAATCACAGCATTTCTGCTCAGTTTGGGCTGAATCTCTTAAAGTGCTTATTAAATCCAGACAGGGAGATGAGTAGATCTGTGGACAGGAAGGCTTCATTTTTACGTGATTCATTTTTAGAGAATAAATGAGCTTTAAAGCATCTTTAATTCATCTCTATAACCAATAGCTTGGGAATATTTCTAGTGCTTTTATTCATGTACAGCAATCTTATAAACAAATAAACATGTTCAAAATTTGAATAAGCAAAATAAGAGAAAAAACAGTCTGTTGACAGTTTCCCTCTTCCATCTATATAGTTATTTGTGGTTTGTTACAATGTATATAGCTGCCAAGGGAAAAATTGAGACAATTAGGAAAAAAAATAAAGAAAAGGGAAGAAAATATTTGAAGGAAGATGTTATTTAATCTACATTTTCACATTACAACAAATGTGACTGTTAATTTTCAATATCTCCATTCTCTGGCTTAGGACCTGAAGTTTGCATGGAGTTGCTGTAAAGACAAGGCTGATTTGGAAAATCCTGATACACTCTTGGGTTCAGATTTCAGAATTGTGTCTGCATTAATATTTTCCTAAATATATTTATAGGGTTCTATCTCACTCGTAATTTTTTTTCCTGAATTGCTGATATAAACTCCAGTCTGAAGAGTTGGCTGTCCCACTAATATTTCTGATTTGCTGTGTTCCTAGTTCCTACCACTGGTTCTCCACGAGTGTCTTAAAAGGAATTAGACAGAAAGAAAAGCCCCACAACCACAAGAGGTCGTCAAATAATGTATCAAGCCTTCATAATGAAGGAAACTGTGGAATAATAGATTTCAAAATTAGCCAGTCTGGATCAAAGGCAAACCCGAGTCTCATAGCTCAGTGAAAATAGTGTAGATAGCTTAGATATCCTGCACAAAATGTTTTTTTTTTACTTTTCTCTGCCTGTGACATAACATTTGATAAATAATTTGCTTGGTAATGCTTTTTCTCTGATGCTTGTGAAATTGTTTAACATATACACCTTTCATTCTTTTGCTAGCTAGGGTTGAGCAACATCTTTTGTGGCAGCAAATATTGCCAGTGACACAGAACACTGCGCCGTGGGATGGTAGGGCATCACTCAGATAAGCCAAGATAGAATTAATCTCTCTTGCCCATCTTTTCATGGCAGACACTAACCTGACCTGCCTGTCTGAGCTCTGGCATCTTGCCCGTGGGTTTGTGTACACATGATCTCAGTGTACAGGGCTGGTGAGAAACCCTCCACTGGAGACAGTGCTGGTAAGGATCCCCGTGGTGCCTCAGAGAGCACCTGCACCTGTGGCACAACCTGTAATTATGGTATTTTCAAATGCTCAGCCACAGCATTTGGATTCACAGAGTTGGATAGCAAAGAGTCTCTGTCCCACAGGTTGTCACAGAAGTGTTGCCACAGCCCTGCTTCCCAGGCTACACGTCACCAGTCTGCCACTTGACTTTAAGTGCTGATTGCTGTTCTTAATTATTTGATCAATTGATAGCTGGCATAAGGCTAGACTACTTAAACATTTACTAGACTAACTTAAGCATTCCTCTTTCAGTATACCCAGGACTGGTTGCCTCCATTTTATACCTGAGGAGGTATAAAGAGCAGTAGGAAGGTGCAGAGAAACAGCTGTACCATACAGCAGTACAAGCACCTCAATATACAGACTCATTTCAGTGGTGTGGCAATAAACAGGCTGCAGATCTGGTTCTCTCACGTTTTAGCTGTAAACAGCTTTAATTCAGTTTTGCTGTTGTTGTGTAACTTCAGTATTTGCATATCATAGTATTTCTGCTGCACACCTTATGAAACATGGGCAGGCTCTTCGTTTCCCAAAAGAGACTGATAATCAACAAAATAAACCAAATAGATTTCTAAAGGGTTTGTAACTCAAAGGCTTTCTGTGCAAATGCAAGACCATAAGCCACTTACTCAACCCCATATGCCCTCACAGCACGCGCTGTGACCAATCATTAGTGTGAAATACTTTTTGCCTATTTTATATGCATATATGTATGTATTCATAAAGTTTTTAAATTTAAAATACGCTGTTCTATTTTAAAATGCCAAACACTCAAGAAATACCTGCCTGTCCCAGTGATTCTGTGTTGCCTCTGCTGCCCACCATGACCCTTTTGACTGGGCAGGCCGGTTGCTGCAGAAGGGGACACGTGGCACAGCCCCTCTGCAATTTCAGGGGGATGTGCTCAGCAAAACTGACCCTGCAGGAAGGCACAAGCACTGGACCCTGGCCTGGAGAAGGAATAAAGCTGCTCTCTTGTCTGCAAACCTGGAGTATCTTCTCAGCGTGCAGGTATGGCTATTCTGACCCTTGGGCTCCGTTCTAGTTAGACTAAATGAGAACATTTATTATACATGAAAATTGTTTGCCGAGGGAGTAGGAGAGGCCAAAAGAAAACATTATTAATCCACTAAACATTACTGTACTGCAGCCAAGTTTGTAACAAACACAACAGTAGGGATCATTGTTTGGTATAAATTGCCTCGTAATCATTTCCACAAGCCAAGGCTCAGTCCCAGCACGCCTGACACGCTTGCGGGGTGCAGGAAATGCAGATACAGTCTCCTGAAATACATACCTGCCATCTGCATCTCCTGCCCTCACCACTGCTACTGCCACCCCAGAGTAAGGGCAGGACTGCTCAAAAAGCCGTGATGATTTTTCTGTAAACCCCTGTATCCCTGAGGATGCTTCTCTAACACTGGTAACTGTGGGTCAGTAGGGCAGTGGTTTGCTGTGTTGGAAAGTGCAATTTTACACAGACTTAATGCAAGAGGTCAACGGATTTGACATTGAAGAAAAGCTAAACATTAAAAAAAAAAAGTGAAGGCTTAAATATTTAAACTGTGTGAGGTTTAATTCCAGCTGGGCAATTACAAGAAACTGGAACACAGGCAGAGGCATTGCAGCCTGAGCCCACTTCACAGAGCAGCCTTTGTGATGGAATTGCTTCTGGTGTCTCCACAATGACTGAACATACCCTGCCCTCTCATTACAGGAGTGATGAACAATGTAGCTGCCCGCCAGCAAGTCAAAAGAAACTTTGGGAGAAATTTCTCTGAGTTTTCCCTTCTCCAAGGCATGCTAACTTAGCCTGGTGCTTGGACTTGTCACAGGGGTCCACAGGCCTGAACCAGAGCAAAGTCTGCTTCAAAGTGTGCATGATGGCACTTTAAAGTACAGCAGTCCTGCACAAATTAGGTTTTGATCATTTGATCATCAGGAGGTTTTGATCATTTCACTGTCAGTAACACCCGGTATTCCAGCTGTCCTTACAAACCACACACACAGCTCCCCTCTCGGCACGTTTTGTGCAGTTTTCTGCTCTCAAAAAAAAACCCCCAAAACCGGGAAGTTTCCAGTAAACACATCTAATGTAAGTGCCTGTGTCAAACTGGGCTTCCTCAGCTTCCCTGCAGCATGAATGGAGAAGGTTATTTTTACAAAGACATATGGGCCTCTCATCCCTCTCTTTTGTTTAAATGTGCACAGTCCTGGCTTCTGACAGTAGTGAAATGCTCAATAACCTCATTGTGAGAAGCGTTTTTAATGTATCAAACCATCCTTGGCATTATTAGCATAGTCACATAATTATCCATGGAGAAACTTACACCCATATGTTAACGCCCATAAAGTATTGTGTGAATCTCTTTTATACCTTTATTTTCAGTTTCTGGGAAAGATACATCACTGGGTACTTAATATAGCAATTGCTTCAGAAGGTGTAAGCTGCCTATGCCCGCGGTGAAATGGTCGGGAGGCAGAGTAGTGCTGGCAGCGTCATCTGAAAGCTCAGTAAGCCACAGTCTAACTGTGCTCAGAATGTGATGCAAGAATATGATGCACCTCTTTAATTTCACAAGAGATTTCTTAAAAAGACAGGAATTTAAAAACGAGAACGAACAGAAACTGATGGTAGGCTAAGTGTGAAAAAACACCTTGTAGGGAACAAATTCTTCGTAGTACAAGGCAGAGAGCCTGATCTGAAATTCCAAACTGGGATAGCAATATCAGTGTTTTCTAGATATCCTGATACCCTGAGTATCTTAGCCGTGTCTGACACTTTTGTATTTAGACTGGATATACCAGATTAAAGATCTAATCTGCTGAATTTTCTCATAATCCTTACAAATTTGGCATGAAGGCAGTAAAAGAAGTTGTGTGTGAACCCAGAAATCGGCTGTAGCACTTTCAGATCTTGGCCTCAGACAGCATAATCTGACTTTTTAATGCAGACCCATTGTATGCTTATCTTTAGGGTTTTTAATTTATTTATCCCAGTATTACAAATATGCTATTCTATGCATATGTGATATGTTCATTTTACTAAAACTGCCAAAGACAAAACATTAGGACATGAGAAATGTGTCTCACTTTTTATAAATAGCTGTGTTACACTTTTACTCAAGTGATTTTAGTAAATCCTTTTGATTTTATTTTTTTCATTTGCCTTTGCTTGACATTTCTTCCCAAGGTGTCTGGTGACTATTCTGATTCTTCTGTAAGAGAGATAAAAGTAAGGAACATTCTTCCCCTCCTTTGATCACTTTGCAGCTTGGGAACTGCAAACCCATACTCAAATATTCAGATCTTACAGGAGCAGAGCATAATATTTAATGTTGCATGCTAGAGTAAAGGCAATTGCTACAAGTGGTTCACTGTAGTACAGTAGTTCTAGCATTGCCTAATTTATTAATCATAGAAATGTTGCATGCAAATTAGCCACAGAGTTGTGCATCATAATACAGTAATCCAAAAATCTGTCTTCACATGTATTAATGCTCATAAATTATGGATATCACACTACAGCATTACACAGTTTCCCCATTACATTCCAAAACTTGCTGAAAGCTCACTAAAAGCCATGTTACTGAGTGTTTTCTTTTTGTTCCTTACTTCTGGCTTTCTAAAGTGTGAGAGTATTTAGCTGCAGGGCATTTTTGTGTCTTCCTTTTCCCAGGGTTCCTTTTTGGGCTAACATTCCACCAGCCAAACATCAAGATTTCTCTTGCTATAGTGCAGTTTAAAAACGTATTTTTGCTCTGGTATGAGTATGGTCAGCACCACTGTCCTCCCCTGCTCTGAAAGCTGCTCCATTTCACGTCCTGACCTTGTAAATCCTAGGCACTCTGCAAGGGAAATCTCCATCTTTTCCTCTCTTGCTTTCTTAATGCTCCAAATATTTCTTTCAGGAAAGTCAAGGTGAGAATAAAGGAACTGACAATGTTGCATGGAATATTTTGCAAAAAAAGACCATGAAAGAATTTCTGCACAGCAAATAGGGATAATCTGTGCAGTTGTATCCCCAGCCACTCACCAACTTGCCCTCCTCTTACTGTCAAAAGATGAGAAGAAACAGAGAAACGGGAGCAAAGAGAGTTTGCAGGAAGAAGGGAGAAGAAGGAATAAGACAACTGAAGGTGAGCAAGACAGAGAGAGCAAGGGAAGAGCAGAAGGAGCGTTAGGATTGTCAACACCAAGGAGGTCAGAGACCTTGAGTGTGATGACAGAGAAACATTAGGAGTTAGCTATGCAAAAATCCAGTTTACAGGATATTTAATTTACTGTGATAGATACTTAACATTTATCCATTTTACAGATACAGTCTCCACAGGCTACACCGCGGAGATAAAAATGAAAGGCATAAACTGAGGTGACTTAGCCAAGCAGTACAAAAACACAAACCAACACCCGAGAGGAAGTTGCTACCTCTCTGTTACCAAACTACGAGAGGTGAGGTAAGGCAAAGTCAAAAGCATTAAATAGGTAAAAGTTGGTGAGAGAAATTCATAAGCTAGGTTAACCAGTTTGAACCACACGTATTTGAATAAGATGCTAAACCACTCTTTTAAAAGAAGGAAACTACAATTAAGGTTTAAAGCCAATACAAAAATACAGTAAAAACAAGAGACGCAAAACATTCACAGGAGTAACTGTGGATCATTTCATTACAGCTGGTGATGCTGAAGTGAGCTGCATTCATTCTTGTAGTATTGAGAGAACTGCAGGCAAAAAAAGTAATACAAATACAAAAGAAAATAAACAGAAAATACACAGAGATAAGAAGACTGATGCCTTTAACACTTTGCTTTGGGTATTGTTATTACAGATATATTTACAACATATGGTCTGTTATTGTCAGGTTAAAAATCAAGTTTTATTTAGAAACCTCCCAAGCTTTGTGTTTTCTTCAGTATCATCTCTGATCCTACTTTGCTCTCCAGCACTAAACAAACTACCACTGGTCTAATATAGTAGTTTCTCACTGCACTTAGTGTCAAAATCATTCAGTATTCCCGGGTATTACTTACTGTCACTTGGCTCATGGTGGCTGTTTCGTCACCTCCCGGTCTTGAGTCCCACAGAGGAATAATGGCAGTATAGAAGCTGTAGCTCTATAAAAAGTGTCATGTTAATATCAGAGGAGGAGCTAGCCATAAGGGGTTGGCTTCACAAATGTAAATATTTAATAATTTATTTAGCAACATGGCTTTTCTTTTCCCCCCCAGGCAAAAACTTTAATAAAGGAATAGGTCTGCTGCAACAAAGGAAATAACAGCAAAAACAGAGACAAGGACACATCCTAACCCCACTAATATCAGCAGGAATTTGCCTTCATCTTCAGTGGGAACAGAACTTCAAAGACATGGGAATCACCTATAAAACCTGAAGGGTAAAATCTGAACCTTCCATAGTCTGTGACACAAACTGTGTTTAGAGGGTGATAGCATAGTCCCGACACGATGAAAATGTCCCTAGCAGGAGTTGCACTCCTTGGCCTGACCACAGCCTTGTCCCCAGCACTGCCAGGGTGGCTGTTAGGACAGACCTCAGAGAGGTCTCATGCACAGGCAGCTTCTTTGAGAGAACTTCTCTGAGGCAGGACTACACAGGAGCTGGCCAGAGATGAACTTCCTTTCGGTGGGCACTATCTTTGTTCATGGCTATACTTTCAGTGCCCAAGTCAGGAAGAAGTGATATCCCCACCTTTGGGGTATATTTTTTTGCATCTCAGTAACTTGAGATACTCTTTCAAGGCCTGTCTCCGGCAGAATGAAGGCTGAAAGCTCTATCTCCTCAGTCCTACTTTGTGTTGTTAGAACTGAGGAAGATGGGCTGTGTGGATATAAAGACTCTTTTCTTCTCTAGGGAGATTTAAGATCTCCCTAGAGGACTAAGAACATCTTCTGGGTGCACACTGCTTTCTAAGTGCTGTGAATGTGGGAAAGCCAGGAGGAGGGAACTCATTCCTGAGTACCTCTGCAGGTCTTGTTTTGGTACTGGCACCATACAGCAAAGTAGAAATTAAAAGAGCAGAGATACCATTCTTCTGCTAACAGCAGAATTAGTTTCCCTCTCTTTCCTTTGGATGACTCCTTATGCTTCTGTTGCTGGGAGCACATAATGCAACACGGTGTCAAGTCACTGTAGGTGTGTAATGTACAACCTGGAGAGGTTGTTACACCTTTGATGAGTGAATTTATCTGTTCCTCATGTTACTATTTTAGTTTTGTGAGAAAAAGCTCCCCTCTGTCCTTCATTATTCCTTGGTCACCAAAATCAGTCTGACAACACAGACTCTTTCAAATAAACCAAATTCCAAAGAATGGTAGGTGTTTCAGGAAAACAGTCCATGGCAGTGTGTACCCTAACTAAGGCTTCTCCACTGATTTCAAATTCTATTTCAGATATTTCATGAGGCATCTGCACCACCAAACCATTGCAGGCTGTATCAAGAAAGCAATGGCAAACACTTTCAGAAAAGCACCTTTAAAATAACTATGTTTAACATATGCTAGTATGTCTGTGTACTGTACAGCAATGATTTTCAGTCCCTGGGTGTAAAGACATTAGTGTAAGATTAGTAAGTAACCTTTAATAAAGCCACAAATATGACTATGAAATAGAAGTTCATGCATATTTTCCATACATTTAATTTCTTCAGGAAGCCTGTGCCTCTACTGGAAAATTATAGGGAAATTTCAAAACCTTTGCTCTTTGCAAGTTAGACCCATGTTGTATGTCAAAATATACAGTTGGGTTTTTTTGAGAGAGCTAGCATTGCTCAGGGCCCTGCCGGTACAGAGATTTCAATACTTCTTTTAAAATAAAATGCAGTATTTCTTTAATGCTAAATTCCTTTGGATTCCAGCGTCCTCACTGTTAACAATCAGCACATTTACAATCAAAGAAGTGAGGAGTGAAGCATGTGGTTTGGCTGCTTTCAAAATCATATGCTTTGAAAGTGCTATTTGAATTTGTGGGTTTAGCTTGGTAATCCAACTGAACTGACCGTCAGCTAGACAGATAGGACAGTAAAGGTGAAACACAGTATCGCAGATAAGAAACTAATCTGTATTTCATGGCTTCCATCTCTGGGTATATGAGCCCAGCTCTTTGTGGCATCAAGTGACACTTAAACATAGCACTATTGAGCACAACTGGTTTGATTATCTTTGTTAAACTGGTGTGGTAAAGGCAAAGTGAAACCGAGTGGCTTCGTGGCCCTCACCACTTACACCATAAGCACAGTGTCCTCCCTAGGCAAGGGCAGTTTCAAGGGCTAACAGCATCTGAAGTAAGTCCAGTGTAAATTAAATGTAGTGTTGCGTAAAGCATGACAATAAGGTCAACAGAGTAAAAATTAGAAGAGCTAAACTTTAGATAAATTTATGAATGCACTGTACAAATTAATACATATTTGTGCAAAGTATTCGGGAGAAGAGAAATATATTTCCTCTGAAAGGATGTAGGTGTGGCTACTGCAGTGTACCAAGGAGATTAAAAAAAAATCCTGTTGCTGTGTTCTTGTTGTGTTTGAAGTAATAATTAGACTTTGGCGTCAAGTTTGAATGATAACTATTACTTTCTTCACACAGATTTTCTAAGCTTGAGAGACCAGTTTTCAAAAGCTCTTTAGCAAAGTTATTATGTTGCAAGCATTACTCCGACAGAAGAAACTGTAAAAGGATGATCAGAAATAGTCAGGGTGAGTCCTGGTTTTTCAGTACCTTCTCAGGATTTGGCTTCAAAAAGGAAAGTCAGCTTTTCTGACAGTAATCTTTCATAATTAGAAATGAAAATTATGCAGTTGGCAAGTTCTCAACAGCCTTGGAAATTGGACCTAATACATTCAAAGGCACAAGCCTTTAAAATATTTCACATGTAGACACTGTTAGCTAATGTTCTCAATTAGAATGCATGCTTTTGTTCTTAAAGAAAACCACCCATGCTATTTCTTTTACTGCTGATACAGGTTTGTATCTGTTACTGCTTTGAATTTTCTGATTTGGATACTCCCAGAGGGAGTACTTTAAACTCCCATAGCACTGTGTCCCAGATAGCATTACAGTAACTCTTGCATATGGCTGTATGAACATACTACATGTGAAGAGAAGCTTACACCTGAAGAACTCTAGTACTGTGAAATAAAGTATTCAAAAGTGAGTAAGTATAGAACTACATTTGCCTGTACAACTTTGATTTGGCCTGTGTATGACTATCCTTTACAACTGGACCATCTTTTTTTTGTGTGTACAAAATCTGCAGCTTTCTCAGATAATGTGTAGAGGGTTTGCTGGCTTTTAATCCTTTATACTAAGTGTATAGTCTTCTGGTTTTATTTATTGCTCATTATCCAGCTCCATCCCAGAACTTAATTCTGTCACGGGAGTTTCCCAGAACTTAATTCTGTGACAGAAATTTGATACGTCTAGCTGAAAGAACAAGTGAGAACAAAATTTTAAATATCAGCCTCAGCCTGGATAAAAGCCTGGAAACTTATACATTTATTTGTTAGAAAAAAAATCTGGAAGGAAATGCTAATAATTTTTGACAGAGGCCTGCGAAGAGACTACAGTCATCTGAGCAGTATATTCTACTTAAGCTTTAAAAAAAGTGCAACAGAACTTGCTATTGATAAATAACTTGTGTGCAGGATCCAGAGCAGTTTTGTTGGGATCTCCAGCAATGCCATCACTCCATCTCTCAATGATTTTGTGGTTGGCATCATATCCACAATATCAGCCTTGCAGGTTGTGTAACAAGCTAATGATGCCACCCTTAAGGAAAAACACGGATGTGCTTGTAGGATGACAAGGTTCCACCACACAAATACAGTAAGAAATAATTGAGATTAGGTGAGGCTGCAGTCAAACACGAAACATTAAAATACTGTTTACAAACAAACATAGAACCAATTAAACTGAATTTATGTAAACTATTTAATTAGCAGATTAGAAAGCCTGATGTTACATGTGTGATCTTCTAGTCTGACTTCCGGTATAATGGAGAGCAGATTTTCCTGAACTCATTCCTGTCTGAACTAGATTGTATCATTTTGAAGGAGAAGCATACATGTTGATATAAATATCAACAGAAAAGTTACCATAATTCTTGGTAACTCTCTCAATGATTAATTAGAGGTAACGATAAATTAAGGTTGCAGGTCTGGGATCTTTGTCTCCCGGAGCTAAGGCATGGATTTTTAAATGGATGTTTACAACACAAAATGGTACATAAAGGGCCCCTATTAACCTTCTATTTGATGAGCTAAATAGATGGAACTCTTTGAGCCCCACATTAGAAGGAGAGTATCTCTTAATCATGTCTCATCTCTATCCTATGAAATCCTTCTAATTTTTCATCACTTTATTTGAATTTAGGACCCAAACCCCATTTACAACATTCTACTTTTCCTTGCATTGGTGCCAGATACAGATGAAGTATAAATCTCTCTATTCTTTCTCAATATTTACTTGCTTGGGCAATCAAGAGTTGGCTTCTCTGTTCTAGTCACCACATCAGAGAGTAGCAATTGGGGTCTATTAGTCTCCAGTTGCTTTTCGGTGACTTTGCTTCCTAAGAGATTTGCTGGGCCCTTGTTCTTTCTAGAACATGTGTTCTGCTTATTTATTTGTTTAAAGTAAAAATGCTTTCACACAAATTTTGTAGGAGAATAAGGCACAAAGGGATGTATCAGAGTTACCATGAAGTATTTGTGAAGAAAGAAACTGAGGACAGGACAGATCTCCTGAATCCCATATTGGCACTACAGTACTGCACATTTCCATGGGAGGCTGAATTGCAAAGGCCATGGCCAGATGCATTGTCAGCTGATGGATACAATCCAGTACTGGATTGAATGCTGTAATTTCTTTCCAGATGTATTTAAAACTTTCAATAAGAAAGCAGAGCTTGAAGCCTAACTCTCTCCTGCCAAAGGTAACCATGCCATACCTTCTCTTTCATAAATAATCCCACACAAATTTAGGAAATAAAGTATTTTCCCAGACAGGAGAAAAATATGATCAATTTGGAAATATAGACAAAAGAAATATTTTAGCTAATCAATTTAGCTAATTCTTCCCTGTCAATTTGTACAGTTACTTTTACTGAAATGGTGCTTTTGATTCTGTCCTCTGTCTCCTACTGCAGGGAACAAAGATTGTGTTCAGCATCACTCTGTGTTGGGTAAAGCACCGAACTGGTTGAACCATGCAGACCAAGCAAAAGAGATCCTGTGATAAAAGGTCTAACTCAAGAGCAGATTTCACTATGAGTTTAATTTCTTTGTTCAGTCAAACCCTGTGCACCAGACAGGATTGACTCTGACAAGCTTCTACAGAAAAATGATCCCAAAGAGACTGAAATCTAGGCCACAGCTACGAATAATTCTTCGGAAGCTCTCTGGATTTCCTGGAGGGCAAGGTGTGGCTCTGTGTGTGGGAGGTAAACGCTGGTGTTCTTCTGTTAGTAGTAATTAGGTGCAGCTTGAGTTTCATTAATAAGAGCTACATATGCATGCTGGAAAAAATGTTTATCTGACACTGGGATTATATGTTACTAGCTAAATGCCTTACGTTGTGTGTTATCTTTGTTATTTTGTGATTAGCACTTAAAAATGTCCATAATATTTTATCAGCACATAAGAAAAAAAGTTCTGTTACTGAGAGTTTATAATACAAAAGAGAAAGTAATCTCCTGGTAAATCTCCAAGTTATCCTACCAGTCTGCCTAACATTTTAGAACCACTTCTTACGTTAGCATTTGTTTTTATTAGCTTTAGTCATTTTGCTTTTGATGTTGTTTATAATTACTGCCAAATGCAAAAATAGTCTTTCCAGAAATTTACCATGAACACCCAGCACTGAAATACCAGTCTTAAAGATTTGATAAACCAGTAAAGAAACAGAATCTTATTGGGGAAAAGGGCTGGGTAGCCTTAAATAGAAGAGATTCTGCAATTCTAGTGACTATTCATCAAAATCTAGTGATGCAAACAGGAAAAAAACCAAACCTGTAATGTAGCTAAAAATGCCTGTTAAATTATTTTAAAAGTCCATTTGTTGCAATGTTCAATCCCATACCATCTGAATATTATGGCAGTTATTCTAAAATTCTTATAAAACACTTGAAAGGGTTTTTTACTCCACTTTGAGGTTTCATAGCATCACAGGTTTTCAGGCCAGAAGAAAGCACCATGAGTCTCCAGCCTGACCTTTTGCAGGGTACAGGTGGCAATCAGATCAAGTGATATATACAGCATTTCTGGTGGAGATAGAACACTTCCTTTGGAAAAACAATCCACCTTCTTGATTTAAAGATTTCAAGTGGCAAGAAATACTTCCCAGGCCTATCAATTTATTTTTTTTCCATGGCTTAGTTAGTCCAAGGGGTTCTCTCTATGTTTTGGTTTTGTTTTGTAATCAAAAAATGGCTCAGCTTTCAAACACTACATCTTTTAAAAGATTTGTCTTCTAAACTGAAGATTTCTATGATTATTTATGTAATTCAAGATGAGTTAGTGCTTATGTAATTCATTGATGGGCTCGAGATTAAGGTTTTGAAGCCCCTGTAAGAAGGGTTTCTAGATCACAAAGCAACCATAGACTGGTTAACCAGGTTCTCAGTTTTTGTCTCGGTATCAGGACATGCTGCTCCACCAGCCAACCCCTACTGCTACAGTGCTCTCCACGTGGATCCACGTGGATGGCATTGCTGTGTCTTCTTACTTGCTTTTCTGTATTGCTGCTTTTCATAGTGCAGCCCTCCATCAAATAGCTAAACTAGGTTTTTCTTTCCTAGCAATATTAGCCTGCACTTAGCTATACTAAAATACACATCGTTCAAGGTAGCTCACCTTTCCAAAGATGTACTAGTACTGTGGACTAATTCCTTATCACTGAAATGTGTTAAAATATTTTAGCAATATATTTTGCTTATTCTTGATAACATATATGTTGATACCACGAAGTTAAGAGTGATCTGCAAGGGGAACAACAGTTTCACTTGACACCTTTTACTTTGTAACAAAATAGTTATACTTTTTTAGTACCTTTAGTAGCACAGGCAAATTGTGTTGCATTAATTTTGATCAAGGAGAAAATTCTTATATATTTTGGGGCAACCTGCATGCAGAAAAAGAAACAAAATTATTTGCTATACCAAGTTCTATTTATTTCAGCAAAATTATCCCACTACTGTACAAATATGACCTAATGTAAAGTAACAGAAATTTAATAAATAAAATGAAAACACAAAGTAGCATATTCTGAAAAATATCTGGCTAGAAATGAGTCATACTCTGATCTTGGATAAACTCCTTCTTTTTCCCTACGTGAAGGAATGTTTTACTAAGGCTGCTCAAGCTATTTTTTATCGCCATCAGCAGAGAGATACAAGCACCACTTCCTACAAAGAGAACCACACCCCTCAAGAAACACAAGTTTTTCTGCATGCCCAAATCATTGATGAAATGTTGCCATTGTCCCTTTTACAGGACAGTTCTTTGGAAAAGGACAGTGATCTCAGAAGTAGCACAAGGAATTCAGCAAAATACCAGGCTGGAAACAGTAGATGCTTCTTCAGTACTTTGCCATGGGTAGCTATTGGATAAACTTCTGAGAAAGTGTAATGTATCAAATCACAATTTTGTTGTTCATAGAATTTCTATTTGGGGAAGTATTCCTGTTTTCTGCACTAGGCACTTGAAACTCCAGCAACCTCCATTATATTTTTTTCCCCAGCTAATATACAATTAATGCATTATCTACTAGTTATAATCTACTAACTAACCAGAAGTGCTGACAGACTTGTAGTAAATCAAACACCCAGTATTAACAAGGCTGATCTGGTTATCAGTTTAAGATAATGGCCAGCTGTGCCATCTTGATAAATCCTGTGGGAAGAAGTTATTGTAATGTCGGTTATAACTACATGGTTACTACTGTGTTGACATCCGTACATAAAGCAACTGTGAAATAATTTTTTAAACTCTAACGAGTTTAAAACTCAACAGTCATATGTAGCAGACTAGGGAATTTCCATAATTTTTAAATAATACATTTGCAAGGTTTTTTTGCAAGAATACCGTGTAAAATGCCTTCTTTTTTAAAATGCTCTCCTTTGCTTCATTTTTCCTGAGATTATTTAAGTCTTGCTCTGTCGGGCTTCCAAAAGCTTTGCTTCTTTTTCTTTGTCACATGCACGTAGACACACGTTCTGAGATGTTTGACACAGACATTTGAATGCATCACTGATTACTGCTCTTTGCATGGTACAGCAAGAGGGTACACCAGGCTGAACTGCTGCACCTTCAAGAAGGGCAGGATGAGACCCAGAGAACTACAGGTCTGCCAGCCTCACCCCTTTCCCCAGGATGACTCTGGAGCAAATACTCCTGGAAGACATTTCCTAGCACCTGAGATACACAAAGGTGATTGAGAACAGACGGTGTAAAGTGGCTTTACCAAGGGCAAACCTTTGATGGGAAGACTGGCTCAACAGAGGAGGAAGAGCAGTGCTTGCTATTTACCTTGACTTTAGGGAGGCCTTCAACATGGACTCCCACAGTGCCCTTACAGTCAGTTTGGAGAAATATGCAGTGGAAAAATGTACAAGGTAGATGGATGGGCTGTGCAGTAAATGGGTGTTGATCAGCAGTTCTAAGTTCACACAAAAAGGTGGCTGGTTACTACTGGTGTTCCTCAGGGACCCATACAGAGGCCAAAACTCTTACTGTCCTTATTAATGGCCTAGACAAGGTAACAGAGTGCACTCTCAGCACATTTAGGAATGATACCTTTGGGGGACATGGATGTCAATAGTCTGGAAGATAAAACTGCCATTCAGAGGGGCCTTTGTTGGTTTTTTTTAACATTGTTTTGTTTCTTAAGCCTAGGACTTTTTACACAAAAGCATGAAGATTGTAAAGAAATTCTCTAAAGCAAAAGCATTACAGAATGAAAACTAAGAAAATTTCATTTGCTCCTTATTCAGCCATAGCAAAATTAACTTTTTTGGACACTGAGTCCACATTTCTCATTTGCTGGGTGGTGAACTTGAGATATGTGGAATCTGGTATCTAGAATGATCCTGAGCATGGTGACATTAATTGTGAACCTAATTGAATATAGTTGTGGTTTAAATGCATAGTGCTAAATATTCACCAAATAACCTCTGGGTATCTTACACTGGGCATTCTAAATTCATAGATATGTTTAATAAATTTTGTTTTGACAAAATGGTTTAATTTTCTCATCCATATAATGGACATCATGCCTTCTTTCCAGTAAGCACCTTAATGTTTGTACACAGCTCAGGTACTGTAAACAAGAGTAACCCAGAAAAGCATATGAAAATAATAATTTTTTTTTTTGTGTTAAGTAATGGGATGAGGACAGGCATTGAGAGCATGTAGTAAGACCTAGTGTTAATTCTAAACGTTAAATAATACCCAACTTTATCATGCATGATACCCATTTTATCCATTAGAGAGATTGCCCTGGGTGACTGAAAACACTGAAATTAAAAGACTGTAACCAAGATCCACTAAGGAATGCAAGCCTGTAAGTCTCAAGCAGATGATCCTGAAAACTACTCACGCAGTTCCTGTGTAGGCACCTTGTAATTTTACTTTGCTCCCCTATGAAATGCACCCCTGGAGAAACAGCTCTGGGTATGCCTAAGTCTGGGAACAGTCTGGAAAGAGCTAAGCAGTTTAGCATTTATTTTTTGCTTACGCCTAGCTGAGTAAACAAGAGGCTTTTCTACAGTAGAGATAACAGATGGCTTGGTACAGTATCACATACCAAGCATCACGGGCCTAGGATCTCTACAAAATACAATTGCAGGGTTTCTCTCAAAAAGTGATGGTATAGATGTTCATATTTCATAGGACAGCATATTGTGGTGGGCCCATGTCCAGCTCTATTCTCAGCTGAAGAGATGTGGGCTCAAAGACAGATTCCCCTGCCACAGGGAGTGTCTCCCACCACTGACCATTCCACCCTGGTGAGACCATATTATCCTTTCTTCACTGCGCAAAAAAAACCCCAACAGAGCATGCTATGTAAGTTGTAAAATAAGAGTATCCTGGTTAAAATGTTATTTGCACAGAACAGAGTTCAAAGTTAAAACAAGCAAAAGACTCTGGAATTCCTATGAAAAAATTAACCTAATACTATGCATGCATTTATTAGTTGGGCCTTCCATTGAAGTTGTAATTGTACCTTGTCAGTGATCTCTACCAAGTCCACAATGTGTTTCTGGTGTATTTTATTGCTCCTTCCCTGCCTTAGGAAGTTCTTGTATTTTTGTGTATCATTATTTTGTTCCTGTGAGTCCTTGGAAGAAAAGTATTTGAATAATATTAGGAGGTTGTCTTCCCTCTTGCTGGGAGGGAGAAAAGATAATGTGTTTTTTCCACATGTAAGAACTCGGTGATCCCAACAAAAACACCATTGCAAATTGGAACTACAAAAACACAGAACTCCCTGTGTGCTCTGCTAACAGCAGTGATGAAAATCTTTGCTAATGACTTTGAGAGACACCCTTGCAATCTCTGACATCTGAATCAGCTAGAGAGATAAAGTTACAGCAAGTCCTTGGTTAACATATTCTCAACAAAATCCTCCAAAATTCAATTACCATGGAAACTACTTATCCTTAAGGCACTAAGGATTGCTGAAATATTTTCTCCTGACAAAAATGGGAGTGAAAAATATCAGGTTGTGCATAATGAGGCCTTTGATCTTCCATTTACATCTGTGTTAAGTAGAGGTAATCTCTATGAAGCAAGTTGAGTTGAAGAGCAATATTCATTTATAGGACAGAACAAGGTTTAAGACTTTGGCTAATTCTGGTTATTTCTAGATGTTTTTCCATTATCTTCGTATGTTTATGATAACAGATTTCTTTTTATTTTTCTAGTAAGAGAAACATAGTAAGGCAAAATAGTGTTTGTATATAAAATTAGTAGATAACTTCAAGCTTTTAAAAATTCCTTGGGACAAATGGAAATAATCAGCCCCACTGAGACTCAGAATTTTGTAGTCTGAGATTAAAAATGCCTCTAATTTAGCCCAGCCCCCCCCAAATCCCTTAGTACTCATTTTCTATAAAACAGAGTATGGTCTTTGCTGTGCACAAACATTTGCACGCCTCTAAGCAGGACAATCAGCTCAGGAGCAGAAAACCTCATTTCTAGCTTTATGTAAATTGAATCTCTAATTTGCAGTAGGAGTTCTTGTTTCATTTTAACATCAAGTTTCAACAGATTTTAATGGAATAAAAATAACTTTTGGGAACATTACCATCCAAATCCCTAAGGTTCCTGTTAAGCAGATGCTCCCCACCACTTAAGTCACTGTGAGCAAAAGTCTGAATGTGGAATGTGTGCACAGGATCAGGCATTGCTGGGCCACAATGTTACTGTCACGTAAACCCATCAGTGTGTCATGTTTGCTCAAAGCTTCCCATTTTGATAGTTAACCCTGATTATAAATTACACTGCAGCAATAATTCCTATTAAATACTTTGATCTTATCTCTACGTTTTCCGCCTGCTGAGCAATGAGCCTGGCCCTGCAGGTCCATGAGGGTCAGCAGGCTGTGCCACCCCGGCCCTGGGCCCAGCCATGTCCACGGCACACCAAGCAACCATCACAGTGTGCCCTGGCAGCCAGGAGGGACAACCCTGTCCTGGGGGGCATCAGGCACAGCATCGTCAGCTGGTCGAGGGAGGGGATTGTCCCGCTCTGCTCTGCACTGGGCAGACCTCGCTTTGAGTACTGTAAGCAGTTCAGGGTGACACAATCACAGAACCATTGAATCATCAGGTTGGAAGAGACCTTCAGGATCATCCATCCTGCATCCAACCAACCACCTGGCACTGCCCCTGTAACCCCTAAACTACTAAACCAGATCACCCAGAGCCAGCCAGATGCCTCTTGAACAACTCCAGGCATAGTGGCTCCACCACTTCCCTGGGCAACCTGTTCCAGTGCATGACCACCCTAAGAGTGAAAACAATATTTGTAATATCTAATCTGGATCTTCTCTGTCTCAGCTTAAGGCCATCTGCATCAAACTGCTTTAGAGCTGTGGCTAGCCAGAACTGTGAGCAACACAGACTTGTGCCCCAAGTTTGGGCCTCTCTGGTCACGGGGGGTGGTAAGAACTCCTGCCTACATCGCAGCCTGTCAGCACAGCCGTGGACAGCTCTCATCAATTTTGCACTGGTGGCTAGCAAAGTTCAGATTGTTCTTGTATCTTGGTATCTGGAATCCAGGAAATCCCATGAGTTCCTGCCAAGAGATGGAGGAGAGAGAAGGAAGGTGAACGATGCTGCCAAGCCCTGGAATCTTTAGCATTGCTGGCTTTCATGGTTTATTGAGGTTATTGCAGCAACTCAGCACCAGGCATTTAAAAATCTCTATGGATTTCTGCATTTAAATAACTAAATTCTAGACTAAACTAAAAACAACCAACACCTCCCTGCCCCCAAATTGTTCTTTCAAAGGTCTGAGCTTGCTGCTGTACTGCTCTGCCCATCCTGATGGAAGGGACTCAGACCCCACACCTCAGCACTGGCAGGAGCTCATGTAAGGAGGATAGGAAGCTATTAGAAAGTGTTCAAGGGAGAGCTACGAAGATGGCGAAGGGCCTAGAGGGGAAGATATATGAGGCTGAGGTCACTTGGCTTGTTCAGCCTGGAGGAGACGGAGGGGACACCTCACTGCCATCTACAGCTTCCTGATGAGGGGAAGTGGAGGGGCAGGCACTGATCTTTCTGTGACAGGACCTAAGGGAATGGCGTGAAGCTGTGTCAGGGGACGATTACGTTGGATATCAGGAAAAGGTTCTTCCCCCCCGAGGGTGGTGGGGCACTGAACAGGCTCCCCAGGGCAGTGCGCACAGCACCAAGCCAGTCGGAGTTAAAGAAGCATTTGGACAATACTTTCAGGCACACAGTGCCACCTCGGGGATGGTCCTGTGCAGGGCCAGGAGTTGGACTCGATGACCCTTGTGAGTCCCTTCCAACTCCGCATATTCCGCGCTCCTGCGACCCCCGCGCGAGCGCTCCCTCAGAGCCCGGACCGCCCCCGGGACCCCGCACTGCCCGCCCGGCGCATGCGCGGCCCCGCCCCGCGGGGCAGAGGCCAAGGGTGAGGGGTCGGTCGGTGCCGGCGGCAGCGCCATGGCGGAGCATGGCGGTGGCCCTGCCGAGCGTGGCGGGCCGCCCGCCGAGCAGCGGGTGCTCTTCCCGCCCACCTTCAGCGTGTCCGAGATCAAGAACAAGCAGCGCCGGCACTTCATGTTCCTTCGCTGGAAGCAGCAGCAGAGGAAGGTGGGGCGGGCTGTTAGCGGGCGGCGGGGGAGGCTCGGGTCTGGCGGATCTGGCTAACGGAGCGCTGTCCGTTCCTCGCAGGAGAAGCTGGCCGCCAAGAAGAAGAGGAGGAAGGAGCGAGAGGCCCTCGGAGACAAAGTAAGGGCTCCGGCCGCAGCGGGCCGGTGTGGTGGCGCGGCAGGCCCTGCCCCGCCGCGGGCGGGCACGGCGCGCCTGGGGACTGCAGCTCAGCCTTGGGCTGGGGCTCCTCAGCTTCGTGAGGGGAACGTTATCTTCACAGACTTCAGTGAAACGGAGCAGCGATTACAGTGAGGGTGATAAAACACTGCAACAGGTTGCCCGGAGAGGTGGTGGATGCCCCATCTCTGGAAACATTCACGGCCCCGTTGGATGGGACTCAGAGCAACCTATCTGGTTGAAGACGTTCCTCTGCTCACTGCGGGGGGGGCTGGATGTCCTTTAAAGGTCCTTTCCAACCCAAAGCATTCAGTAATTCTATCATCTCTGTGGTTGCTGGCTGTGGTAGCCTTCAGAAATGCTATCGTCTAGCAGAGGTATCAGTTAGCTAAGAAATATTGTTTCTACTGTGTTAAAGATGCTGTAATCAGGCAGGGTGAGTTTTAAGCTAATGGCATAAAAGAAGGCCCTTCCTGAAAAGTCATCTGTGTCTGCTGTGATTGCTATGGCATTTGTGTTGATGCTATTAGGAATTATACTCTGATAGTAATTTCTATATAAATTAAAACAATCAGATCTGACCAAACCATGCCCAGACCAGTTGTCTGCTGGATTCCAAGCCTAGCCATGAACAAGGGTTTTGCTTCCTTTACTGACCTGGTTGAAGACAGTCAGATGTGAGTTTCTGTATTATAGTAGTCTCACAAGAGTAGTGTAAGTTAATGGGGTAAACATTAGAGGCTGTTGGTCATTAAATTGTAGATGTCAAGGTTAAAAAGTGTTATATTGAAAGTAGAGCTCTTTTCTTCCATGGAAGAAAAGGGGATAGAAAGTTCTCCTATTTTTTCAGGGGGTTTTTGTAACTTTGTTTCTTGATTAGACTGAAGTTAAGCATTGCTACTGTTCTGGTGATGCTTTTCCTCCATGTGATGCTCTCTGATGTCCCAATACCTGTGCATATTTTTAATCAAAGTGATGTTGCAACGTCTTTTTTTAAAAGTGGCATAAAATAAATAATACTTCAGTTCTGTGTAGAAATATACACAATATCATGGTAGTATGAATGTGGTATTTGCAATATACTTAATAATTACATGAATGTGTTATGTTAATAAACTTATGTATTTTAGGCACCTCCAAAACCCATACCAAAGACTATTGAAAATCAGCGAGTGTATGATGAAACCACTGTAGATCCCAATGATGAAGAGGTAACTGCTTTAATTTCTGCATGCACTATTAAATTAAATGGTTTTTTTCTAAGAAGGGACATAAACTGGATTGAAACTGAATATTCAGCACTCTCCTGTTAATGTGTTGATGAATTACTTTATACACATGATGGCCTCACTAAGAGGTGATGTCATTCTTTCATTATCTGTGTTAAATAATTGCCTTTTGCATTACTGGTATTGATAGTAAGAGCTGCCCATGTTCATCACACTGGATTCTTAAAAATGTAAAAACCACATGCCTTGGGATGATTAATTACGAATAGATCTTGTGAATTGAAATTTACATCAGATTGAATAATTGTTCTTCAATTATTTTGTACATGGTGGAATAACAAGACTTCTGTTCTTCCAGGTTGCTTTTGATGAAGCAACTGATGAATTTGCACCATATTTCAACAGACAGACAGTTCCCAAGATTCTTATCACAACATCAGACCGACCTCGTGGGGTACGTGTTTTACTTGGAAAGTTATGAGCAGTCAAGTGGTTATAAGATACCAAGGTTTTTATACTGTGATTGATAAAATAAAGCTGAAAATAGTAGCATTCATGGTGGATTTTTTTCAGTTGTTTCATTCAGTGATTATCAATAACTTGTATATATGTATGTAATCTATTGGCTTCTCTAGTAGTGTTTTGTTTCCTTCATAATAAAAAACAACCTCATGCATATGTTCTTGTATTGACATGATCTACATTGCCTAGCTGGAGAAATTACTGATGTTTGTGAAAATCGTAAAAAAACATGCTTTAAAAATAGAAGAAAAAGTACACCTCAGAGAATTTATCCAAAAACACAGACATCTTCAGTTCCTGAAGAAATAGTCATATTGTACTTTGAAATGCTGTGAACTTTGTGTCCTTAATAAGTAATGAGTTTGGAAGTTATGCTTTTGAAATTTTCCTGCTTTTCTGTGATTGAGGGAAATAAAAAGAGTCCTTAAAAAAAACCCAAGTGCTGATGTGCTGCAGTCTTTGCTGCAAATGAATGTTTTTCCACTAATTGAATGAAGTAGTTTAATAACTTATCTTCAAGCATTTATGGAGATACTGGAAGTAATGTATCCTCAAGGATGGTAGTTGAAATGAGCAACCTTTCATTCCCCTAATAATTGAATTTGGCACTGAATTTACCACTCTGCAATTTAATTCACCTGTTTTGCAGAGAACAGTGAGATTCTGTGAACAGCTGGCTACTGTTATACCCAACTCACATGTCTACTATCGAAGAGGACTGGCTTTGAAAAGAATTATTCCACAGTGTATTGCAAGGGACTTCACGGATTTAATTGTCATTAATGAAGATCGCAAAATACCAAGTAACCTTTTGTCTATTTATTGAGGAAAGAAAAAAATTCTGTAGAGTGCATCAGAGATCAACTCTATGCTGTTTTCTTGTTACTGTGCAAACTAGAGAGTTAAAAATCACT